ATGAGTTTGAGATGAGTATGGTAAGGGAATTGAATATGTTTCTTAGACTTCAAATTAAACAAATGGATAATGACATGTTTGTTTCCCAATCAAAGTATGCTAGAAACATGTTGAAAAGATTTTGTCTTGAGAATGCAAAGCATGCTAGAACCCCTATGAGTGATACCCTTAAGCTGTGCAAAGATGAAAATGGTAAAAAGGTAAACAATAAGATGTACCAAAGCATGATTGGAAGTCTTCTTTACTTAACTACAAGTCAGCCTGATATTTGTTTTAGTATTGTTGTTTATGCTAGGTTTCAAACTAATCCATCTGAGTTGCACTTGAATGCAGTGAAAAAAATCATGAAATATGTTTCAGGTACGTGTGATTTTGGCCTTTGGTACTCATTTGATTCTAACAGTTGTTTGGTTAGATAAGTGATGCAGATTGGGCAGGAAGTTTGGATGATAGAAAGAGTACTTCGGGTGTACAGCAAGAAGCAAAATGCAATCTCCCTATCCACTGCCGAGGCTGAGTACATTGTTGTAGGAAGTTGTTGCACTCAAATTTTATGGTTAAAGCAAATGTTGAATGATTATGGTGTTGATCAAGATTGTATGACAATATTTTGTGATAACACGAGTGCCATTAACATCTCTAAGAATCCAGTCTAGCATTCTTTGACTAAACACATTGACATTAGACATCATTTCATTAGAGAGTTAGTTGAGGAGAACATCATTGCACTTGCTCATGTGAACACAAAATCCCAATTGGATGATTTATTTACAAAAGCACTTGACTATGATACTTTTGTTTTCTTGAGGAAGTCGATTGGAATACTTCAACTTGAATAGTTTTTTATTTCAGTTGATGAATAAAGCATGAACATGCTACTTTTATTTTTCTTTGTCAAGACTCCTTGATTTGTGCTAGCACTCTAATTGTCATTCATTTTCTCTTATCTGTGTGCTAACTCTAATATTTTGTGTCCATTAAGACTCTCTCTATAACATGACCTTATTGCATCATGAGTTGATTGTCCATTCTTGTTACCATTATAAAAGAACTACCTTGCATGAAGTGTGAAAGTTGTTTTGAGTAATTTTCTGATTTGTAGAGATCCTTATATTTTGGAAAATCTACCATTAAGAGGACTACCTTCGTGCAAGTGTGAAAGCTACATTTTCGTTACGTTTATGAGAGTTATTTGCCCTTTGATCAAAATGAAAAGAAAAATCTTTATTTACTATGCTAATAAAGAAAAATGCATAATATAGTTAGGCATAAGGGAAGGGGGAGCTTCTCTTGCAAAAATTTAAAATCAACCAATGTGTCATTTCACCCCCTTGAGGACACTATCACACATTAAGACAAGCACTTGGAAATTTATCTCACTTATGTGTGATTAAGGAAGCGTTGTTTTGATTGCACTATGTTGACAACTTCCGTATGAGTTTTGTGCCTTTTAAGATTGAAAATTTGATCTCTTAGGTTGTTTTGCACAGATTGACTGTCTTGACCTTCAAAAATTCATATGAAGCATTTCATAATTTTAATTTTATGTTCTTTAAATTTTGCTCAATAAAGTCTAGTCTTTTGAAAAAAAATTATGTTCTTTTGGGATGTTGTGTGCTCACACGATTGCATATGTATACTCATTTAGGATAGAGTTCTATTTTTGGTCAAACTCTTTTTCAACATCTGAGAATCGCCGCCTGCTATAAATGTGTTGCCCTATTTTTCTTTAAATCAGTCTTCATTTTCTAAAACCCTATTGCGTCGCCTGTGTTCTTTGTTCTTCACATTTTTTTCTCTCAAATCTTCACTGATTTTTCCCGTGTTTTTCTCACATAGATTCAAGAAAGAAAGCTATTGAGAACCCAAAAAGAAAGGCTATGGAGGAATCCCTCAAGAAGGGATTTCAAGACCTGAAGAAATCCAACAAGAAAAAGGCGATGAAGGAGAAGACACCACCAGAGTCTGATTCTGCGACTCCAAAGGAATCCTATGAAGAAGAAACCAGCCATTCATCCTCACCTGGTTCATCCCCTGTTTCCAGTTATCACCAAAACTCAGAGCGCTCACATAATGGGTCAGCCCTTGTCTCACCTGAGAAGACACCTGAAAAATCTTCTTCGGTGTCTGACAGCGCCTCAGAGAACACGCCGATAGCCATTTTGAAATGGCACAAAGAAAGTTCTTCAAAGAGCACACCTTCAAAGACTCTGGCTCTAGCAGAATTGGTGAAAAAGAAAGGAAAAGTTGTCATGGAGGAACCTTTGTCTAGTAAAATTTCTCCTTTTGTTTTACCTGCAGCTGAGAATAGATTTAAGTGCCACATTGTCAAGAGGACAACTGTGAGCGAAGCGAATGTTAGACTAGAAGATTTGATGAATTTCATGCTTTGATGAAAGAATGAAATTGGTTAGGGACCGTCACTGGGTTGACTGCCCCTGTACAAACTCTTGTCCAAGAGTTTTATGCCAATTTTGGCTTTGACAATGCTGACTCAAAATTGAACAAACATAATGATAGAGTTTATGTTAGAGGACATTGGGTCCTGTTTACGGAAAATGTTGTAAGGGATGATCTTGGTTTGAAGAAGAGCAAAAAGAATTTTGATTTGAAAAGTTTAGACTTAGACAAAATTGTCAAAGTCATCACTGGTGGTTCAATTGCTGGTTGGCCGAGAACTAGTATTCTTCAACCTGGTGTGGTCACACCATTTTACAGATTGTTGTTTAAAATCTCATTGACAAACTGGTCCCCTTCAATGCACAATTCGACTGTCAGATCTGAACGAGCACAACTACTCTATGGAATTGCTCAAAAGAAAAAGATTGACTTGACTGAGTTGATTTTCACCAGTATTAGAGTTGCAGCACAATCAACTCAGTCTCTGCAGATTTTGTGCTTTCTTTCTTTGCTTTACAAAATCATTTCCACTTACAAGCCTAAATCCTATGAAGTGCAACCTATTTTGAAGATAAAGATTGTCACCAAAAAATCTTTTAGACAGCCTGCAAGGAACTTGCCACCATCTTCCTCAATTGATCAAGCAAGGATTAACACTTAGAAGTCCAAGCTTTTTGTTTCCATGCAAGAGTTGGAGACTTCAATGGAGTATGTCCTTCAATATGTGAAGGAAATTCACATTTCTCTCCGCTCACAGATGGACAAAATGGAGGCTGATCTGAAAAAGAAGAAAGAAAAGACTATTCTGACAAAACCTGCTGATTAGAATGTGGTACCTCCTGCTCCTCCAATTGATCTTGTTGTCGTTCCTATGTCTGCCATACCTGTTGACGATGTTGCTCCTGAGATTCAAGTTGAAGAAGAACAGGTTGTTGATGAGGAATTAGAACAGGTTGGTGGTGAGGAAAAAGAAAAAGTTACTGATGATGATGAACAAGAACCTCCTGAAGGTGCAACTACTCAAACAGATTCTCCTGTTACCATCACTACCCCTCCAAAACTCGGAACCAAGAGGAAAGCTGGTCGCTCTTCTCTACCCTCTCGAAAGTTATCAAGACGTATGAACAAAGAGGGGGAGTAAGAAGCATATGGAGTTTATAGTTTATTTATGTTTTGGATCCATGGGGGAGTTTGTTACTTTGTTTGCTACTGTTATTTTTATTTTTATTTTTTTAACTCCTTAGTTATCTTACTTTGATGTTTTTATTTGTTTTATTTACTAACCATGTGTTTACATTTGTGTTTTTTTGGTTATTTTGTTTTCATGTTTGTTTGTGCAAATCAACAAGTCTTAAATGGTTGATTTAAACAGGTTTGCACTTGATCTCTTTTATTATGTTCTTTGTTCATAAGTTTGACAAAGGGGGAGAATGTAGAATATTCATTTTTGTCAAACTTATGAGTTGTGTGTGTGCACACTAGCTGCCATCCTTTTATTTGGCTTATTTCATCTGTTGTGTCTATGCACATCAGTTCTTAGTGCACACTGTTTGCTAGACTTGTGTCTTGACTTGTTTTGTTTCGAGTGTGTGTGCACAACGGTCTGTGCTTACACTCTCACTTAAGATATTTTACAACCTAACACAAGTTGCATGCCTGATAAAGTGAAAAAGATATTGTTTATCTTCGTCTCTTGAAATTTAAGACCTTTTACATGTGTCATAATATCCTTAAGAGGTCCTAGGGAAAAAAGTTCTCTTTCCGAATTTGTTTTGTGGTCCAAACCAAAAGAAGGAATACTTTCCTTATTTGGACAAACATGGGTTAGCCCCTTGTTGGCTGGTGTGGCACTATATTGTTGAGCAAGAAATCCTTCATTAGATAATACTATTTCTTGCGTAAATGAATCTAACCTTTTGACAATTTGTTTCATTGTACTATGAATTTCTTAGAGTATTCTATCTCTTAAGGTCCAAGGTTCATTTCTCTTTTGTGCCAAAACCTCACCATATCAAACATAAACTTGATGACTTTTGGAATGTGGTTCCTTTACTGATGCCGGTGCGTGGCATCGGTGGTTCACAAGCTACTCACGGGTGTGTTCCCGACAAGAAGAAGGTCCAAGGAGTTGCTACACATTAAGGATTCAGAGTGTGGTGCTAAGTATAAAGTTGAACAGGGAGTTCTTTTTACTGTAACTTAGATCAGTTTTGAACTATATCTTATAATGTCTTTTGACTTAGTGGATTGCTTCGATCTAGACAAGGTCTCATGTATGTAGGCTAAATGTGGATTTAGCCGAACCATGTATATGGTTGTGTTCTTTACTTTCTGCACTTATGTTTGTTATGGTTAAAAAACTGGAAATCTCTTAATCAGCTTGGTAATATTCCGCTGCACGTTAAAATGGGTACTCAAATACCGAAGTGTGTTAACCAATCCCCAACAATAACATTGCTATTCACAACATTTAGGGCGTGATCTAATTGGAGTCACCAATTTCAAAGGAGAAGAGAAAGGCATATAAGGCTCAACAAAAAAGAGCAAGAACAAAAAGGGGGGAAAAAAGATGATTGAACATACTTGATTTACTTCAGTCCTTAAGTAACAGATGGAGGTGATAGTTGTCGATGCTTGAATAGCTTCACCATCTGCCTACGTTCACAATCCTGCATAGAAATGACAACAAAAAAAGAAAAGAACCACAATTATGTTAATTATTTCAAGTCATCGTAATATAAATTATCCACAGTGTTCATGTCTAAGAGTTAAGAGCAAATGATCTCATTCCATAAGACAACCCCAAAGCTAACTATATAATTGTTCAACCCATCCAAAACAAAGATGAACAAATAAAACTCAAGTTGTTAGTTTGATTTTTTTGGTTTAACTCACTCCAGCATCAGACTAGTAATTTATCTGACTCAAAGTCTTTTGGTTTCGTTGACAATTGACTGCTTAAAGCTATACAAAGACAACAATCAATTAAAGCTCATGAAAATTTAGCATATTATCATGGAATTTTTGGGAAGAAATTCCAGTGAAACGTGGCTTTAAAACTATAAAATTCCAATATGAAATTAACTTGAATCTTATGAAATAATTATATAATGAGATCTTTAAGAGAGCTTTTTCAATCATATCTTACAAGAAGCATAACTACTCGTTAAATAAGTAAAATTGACCACTGCATGTCAAGGCACAATCATTGCATGCTTATGTTTTGCTAAGATTTCATTTGAAGGCAATTTTATTTAAGGTGTCTAAAAGAAAGTCTTCCGATAAGGAGTTTTTCAAACACTCCAAGAAAACATCACAGTAAACATTAAATCAGGACTTCATTGAGACACCAAATATACCTCAACCAATTCATTTTGGAACTTTAACAATCATATTGGCTTTAATGGCACTAAGCAACCAAGCTAGTTATAACCAGTTGCAAACTACATGCACTAACCAAACAAAGTAATGACTTGTAAAAAAGTATTATCAGATTTAATTAATAAGTCTATTACCTTAAACATATTCAGGTAGAAAGGTTTTTCTGGATTCATTCTCCTCAATTTCAAGTACGTATATGCAAAGCTTAATTGATCACGCGTTGTGAATCGATCAACTTCATTAAACCAGAGACATGAAAATAAATTTGACATTGGTGTATGAGCCCGGACAATAAAAGAAGCTTCAGGAACATCTGCAAAGCACCTCATTCTTGGAATCAGAACCAGATATTCATGGGACATCATATAAAAGAAAATGAGAAAATCCAAAACAGGAGAAAGGCATCAGGACTCACAACTAGGAAGAGGATTATTTGGATCAGAAGGGTCAAACTTGGTGAGGCCATCAGACTGGTAAAATATAATCTGTTCATCAATGGCCGTGTGGTTATACTTGTTCAGAAACTTATTTCGGAGTGCCTCTTCCCATACACAATGGCGAACATAATGATTTGAAATGGCATACTCTGACCTTTTTCTCCACAAAAAGAATTCAATTATAAGCATTGGATCAGCCTGAAGTCGCAGCTTACTGTCAAGCCAAATCGAATACCTAAACATAAATAATATGAAAGATAGCAAAGTCAATGACTGGTCAGAACTAGGAGGTAAAAAGTGGCTAATGCACCAGACAACCAATCTTACCTAGAAGAAGGAAAGAGACGATGCGGTAAAAGTTTTGGCACTTTTCCAGTTTTCCGCATGTCCTTATATGGTAAGTTCTTAACAACAACAATTCTCCACAAACCGATATGTCCTTCGTCATCAGGAATGTTACCCTCTGAAGACAGTGTTAATAGTGTTTGCTCATCCACAAACATGACAAAACAAACATTTTTCTTGGAAAATTCACTAATCTGAAACAAATGAAGCATAAAAAGTTAGGAGAAACAAACGTGAATGTATATCATTGGCAGGATAGAAAGTAAATATAATATACAAAAACTCATATCTATAAACAAAAGCAATTCAAGGTGTACTGTTTTCTCTGGCATATGACTCCTTTCACATTTGTATTGTATGATGTAATACCTAAAGACTCTTTACTATGTGTATATTGAAGAGAGGAGAAGACAATTAATATTAGGCAGATCAATCACTTTAAGGGTGCATTAAAAAAAAAAAAAGAAGTCTATATAATCATAAAATCCAATTAAACAATAGTCCTCAGGAGAGCCTACACGCATGATCTGTATAAGCGCACTTTCTATCGAAATGTAATCCTTGAAAGACAATTTAGTAATGCATAGTGCACATGCTTTTATCAGCATAAAAAGTACTCTATTTGAGCTTTTAATTAATAAATAAAGGCAGGACAGATATAACTATGATGTCATAAAGCAAACAAATTTGCAATATCGAATAAGAATCAGGGACATAAAGATACATATAAATCAAACTACACCATTCACACTTTGATACAGTAAAAAAGGGTACCCAGCAGTGGACAATCAATACAGAATTTTCCATCTTGCATGCTTCAGAAGAACTCCTCTAAGTAGAGAGTGACAATAAAAAGACCAATGCTTTGAAGAATTGATAATCTGGATCTGAATTATTGTTCATAAATCTAAGCCTACTTTTACTCTCTCTGTTTTAAACAGGAGGAATGAATATGCTACATGAAAAAAAAAAAATACGCTTCTCTTTTGAATAGCTATATTGAGAGTAAACTTGACATTCAATTACGGAAGAACACAAGATATTTAACTAGAAGCAGTTAACCATCACTTCTGTGGACATGATAAAAAGAAAAGATAAAGAATCCTTATTTACCATCCGACTGGTAGGCCTCCTCAGAAAATCAGAGCTCCCAAAGATGCAAGAAGATACCACAACCTCACAAGTATTCATGTATGTCCTTTCCTTTTCATCCAAATCAAATGTAGTGCTTGGAAATTGAGGCGGTCCTTTAACAAATCCACAATGAAGAGTTTGATTTTCCGCATAGAAGGATTTTTCTCTTTCCTGAAGACTCTGATGTCCTCCAAATCTAGGTTCAAAAAAGTTGGTTGTAGAAGGTTTATCTTCCTTCTCAATGTAGTCTAGCGAAAATCTAGAGAAATTCATAAAATCCTTGAGCTCAACAATCTCAGTAACTGACTCTGAGAATCCGACTGTGCAAGGAAGATCTGAAAGATTAATGGGGGGGAAAGAGAAGAAGAATGGTGTCAAACAGCCAGAAAAGCTTCCAGAATTTACTACTGTAAAGCTATCAGAAGAATAAGCTCGCAATTCTTTACCTCAGTCAAAATACATTTAAAGATAAAGGAAAGTTTTGCTTACAAAAATTAATAAAAATGTTCAGATCTCTGATATCAAGCATCATTGTGGAAGATGAACATAAGGGGAAAATGCCCTATGTTCAATCACTGATAGCAAATGAACAAAAACATATTCAAGATTGAAGCCTCTACAACATGTGGAATATATTTGCTCCAAAAGAAGATTAGAACGTCAGCTCCAAAATCAGTGATTTTTAAGATTTTAGAAGAATATAATGAAGCAAACACCAATGATAATATTTTTTTTTTTTAATTTTTTTTTTGTTGTTGTCATCTGTCTTTGTTCACAGTTGCAGGTCATGAAATCTGTTAATACAAATTGATCCTGAAAACTCTTTTTGGGCTTTTTATTGGAAATTCCCTCTACTCAAACTGACAAAGTGAAATCGCATTGTCCAAGCTTTAGAGTATTTTACAGATCTTGATGTCATTTATAATCTAATTGCGCAATGAAAACATGCAAATTCAAGAAAAATAATACAAGCAAAGTACTCTTACACTCAGATATTACTTCTTGCACTTCTCGCGTTTTTGATGCCCTATTTTCCAAGTTACCTGAAATGGTATATATTAATGATAAGCATAATAGAATCCAGAATGAAATAAAACAAGTGCTTCTACTCCTTAAAATACAATAAGTTTGTAGTCTCACTCACCATGAGAAAAGAATTTGAAGGCAAAGGGAACAGAACACATCAAAAAGAGTGCAGCAAGGAAAAACACCCAATGCCACGATCTCTGTCTATAAAATCGACCAAACCTCCTTCCCAAACGCACAACACGAAAACCATTCTCACTTCTTTTCTCCGTTGACATTTCACCATGGTGTTTAAAGACAGTCATTGCTGTGATAAAATCCAGCTAATGAGTAACATAATTGTGAAATAAAAGAGCAAACATTCAGTTTATTCCACTACTAGTCTGACATAAACTTTACTGTACACAGCAAGTAATAAATAAAATCACAGACATTATAATCATAAACTTCAGTGCACTAGTGAATAATTCAATCAAACTCAACTCAATTCCATACTTCCAATAACAAAATTCTGTTGATCTATTACAAAATTTTAACTCTGAGGAAAAATATTATTTTCAAAAAATGCTGAAATCTTGAAAACTAAAAGACTCGCCACAAAAACATAATCAGTTTCAGTTCATTCCAAAATTCGAAGTTGAGAATAATAAACTTATATTCAAAGGTGAAAATAACAATGACAAAGGCGTACCTTACTCAAGATCTCACCAGAAAAGACTCGCAGGAATTTTATTCTCCTTAAAAATTATTAAATAGGACAAATTAAAAATAAAAATTGGGTCTGTTTGGTTCATTATTTTGATACTTTTTAAAATAATATTTTGAAAAAATAAAATTGGGTTATGTTTACAAGAAAAGTAATTATTAATGTTTTATGAGATGAATAAAGTAGAATAGGATTTTGAGAATATTGAAACAAATGCATTTTGGGGTTTTAACTTTATTGGGAAAACCAGAATAACATCTAAGATATGTATTTATTAAAAAAACCATAATTTTTATTCTACATTATAGAACTTTATTTTAAATTAATTTTTTAATGCATCTTTTATCAATTTTGGTTCAATTACTTTCTTTTTTCTATTGTTAGAACAAAATAAATGAATTATTGTTTTTTTTTTAAATAAGACTAAGAAAATTAATCCATACACCCAATAGTAGTATTTGTCGACGAATAATTTAAATCATTTTGTGTATCTCAGTGTATCCAAAATTATTTATAGTGTTAAATGAAAAAATATTTGATTAGTAAAAAAAAGAAAAAGAAAAAGAAATTCAACAATATTTCATTTTGTAATCAAACTAGTTACAATTGTCTTCAAAAATTTGGTAGTTGTATTTTATTTGATCTCAAAACAAGATTTTATAGAAAAAAATATAAGTGATTATTTTTTAAATGCACAAAAAATGAAGACTAATAAAGTATGAGATAAGTAAATAAAATTTTGATAGTTTTGGAAATACATGGTGTTTATTTAGATATTTTAATAATTTTAAAAGTTTTAATAGGTTTTTTTAAGAAGTGGGGTCAAAAAGCTAAGATATGGAAGATGAATAGCATCACTCTTTTTAAAACCCAGGGGTATTGTTTGATTAAATTCGCTAAAGCTAGTATATTTTGATTAATGAAACTATGGGGTGGTTATTGATAATCTCCCCATTTTAAGGGACACATTATAATTTTTTTTTATGATAGAAAAACTTTCTTTCTTTCTTTCCTTCTGATAATTTTTTAAGTTGAATTTGTGAAAGCAAATTGAAACGAAATAAAAAATAAAAAAAAAACTTTCACTTTGATCTTGTTGATCGAGTTAAAATTTTATTAGAATTTCTATAGTTAAATAATTGACAAATAAACTGGATGAATTATAGCATCAAAAGTGCTTGAGTTATTTTGGCATTAATTCTTTTTTTTTTTTTTTTTTTTTTTTTTTTTTTTTTTTGGGTAAGTAAATAAATTATCTTACTCTAAACAAAAATCTCCTCTGTTTTGCCATATTGGGTAGACCTTGCCTATTATGTAAATTACAATACATTGACTTCTATACCCATAACCTCCATGTTATTCAAAACTTCTAAACCTAATATTTGTTTCATCAATCATCCTTTATCTGATGATATTCTACCAAAGAAAATCTACAATACAACAAGGGCACCAACTCAAAAGTTGGTACTACCAATCACTCATAACTTAACATTTGTCTAAACAAATAATTGTTTCCATTTTTTCAAAAATTATGATTAGGATTGTAAAACTGTCATTGGTTTTGCACACCACCACCATTGTCAGAGACTTTGATGGACATCACTCACAAAACCATGTTCAAAATATTGTTTTCATAAAAACAAATCACATCTTTGAATCTCATAATAATCCAATGAATCTAAATGACATGATTAAAACTTCTTCAATACAATTTTCATAGATCCCACTCTTTCCACCACCGCGAAATTCGGCGAGTAGATTGACAACTCTTACATTTTTAAACTCTCACCCCATCAATTTACTTTTCCTTCACCATCAAACTACTACCCAGCCAATATGCATTCCCTCTATTTGGTTTACTTCATTATGGGGAAATAACCACAGTGCATTTGGTTTTTTTATTTTAGTGTTATTTGTTATTTTAATAAGGTTTGATCTATTTCATACTTCATTTCTATAAGTAACCGATGAAACTTGGCAGCAGAATAAAACAAAAATTTTGGTTCATCGATTGCTCAAAGCCCATAATTAGGGTCAAATATATATATGTTTTACATATAAAATAAATAATGCATACAAGGATTATAGATCATACCAGTGATGGAGGCTCCTTCAATGTATCTGATCTCTTTGCTAGTCAATCCAAGAAAAGGACTGGACATATGATATCCACACGAAGGTAGGATCACTCAAAATTGAATTAATTGACTAGATTAATTCAATTGCTCTTTGGATTTTGCCAAAGAATTGAAAGAACAAATCTCTCACAAAAGGGGAAGGGCGGCTAGGGCTAAAAGGAGCAGCAACTTTCTTTTGAATTTTTTTACTCTTACTTAATTTTTGTATAAGTTTTGCTTTTATAGCAAAACCCTAACCCTATTCCACATTAGAATAGGGTTAACTTATTCCTAAGTGGAGTAGCATTAAAGGTATTTTAATTTAATTAAAACTATTAATGTTAATATTAATATAAACATAATAATAAATATGTAATTTGCTAAATTTAATTCCAATATAAAATTGGATACATGCAACAATCTCAACAAATTTAATTACACAACAAATTACCAAAATACCCTCAAATTAAAATACATAATTTTGCTAATTAAATTCCAATATAAAATTGGACACAAGCAACAACTTTAGCAAATTTAATTGCACTGCAAAATTACCAAAATGTCCTCGCGTCTAGAAAGATGAAAATGCCCCTTAAACCAAAATCATCAAACTAACTCCTATGTGCGTGGCTCATAGGCTTCCGAATATGTTGGCAGTGAGTAGTATCGCGAGTAACCACCAATTAATCGTCTCACTACACATAGACCAAGACTGACATCTAGCTAGGCATCATGGTCACTCAACACATAAGGATCAGCGAAGTACTGATACATGTCAACGATATGGTTACTATGTAATTGAGTCATTTCATCAACTATTATCTCTTTAAGATTGAGGTACATAAATAATTTCAACCACAGATACCCTTGATAACTTGGTATTCGGTTACTGGACCAATGATCGAAATATAAATTGGATTAAGCGATAACTCAATCCCACTATTGTCACAAATTTATGTTGTCATTGCCAATATAAGCAAACTACACGGTGAGATAACTTCTCTCACACCCGGGACAAATGAATCCTCTGTCGATCCACCATAACCTTAATACACTTCTCGATGCAGCTAATCACTACCATCCTGATAGCTTTAAAGAGGACTACGTTGGGCTTGTGGCAAAATACACCGATTGGTATACAAGGCGCTCTAATGACCTCAAGTCTAAGGATCACATGCATCACCATCCATTAGAGGATTTGTTCCACATACACTGGGGTTACCATCTATGTGGAATCTTGTGGTGGGTTTGTTCTGCGAACTTGCTTACATAGCAAGCACCCATGTGTTACACCAGATCATCACCAAACAACCTTGACAAATGAGATCTATCACCGCCTCTCGACAGGGTCGTTCAACACGATGATAGTCTTACCGTATTATCTGTGTCCTTTGTCAGATAATATTGAGGCTACAGATGGTTCTAGAATAGCCACCATATGTGCTCGCAGGGTCCTCACTATCGAGATTTGAACACTCGATACAAGATTTTATAATATATATATATAAGTGATTATTTTTTAAATGCACCAAAAATAAAGACTGATGAAGTATGAGATAAGTAATTAAAATTTTGATAGTTTTGGAAATACAAGGGATTTATTTACATATTTTAATAATTTTAAAAGTTTTAATGGTTTTCGTTTAGATGTGGGTCAAACAGCTAAGATATGGAGGATAAATAGCATCACCCTTTTAAAATCTAGGGGAATTATTTGACTAAATTTGCTAAAGCTAGCATATTATTGATTAATGAAACTATGGGGTGGTTATTGAATTGATCATCTCCCCATTTTAAGGGACACATATGATGTAAAAACTTTCTTTCTTTCTTCTAATTCGGCATTCTAGGTAGAAGTGGATAATCTTTTAAGTTGAAATTTGTGAAAGCAAATTTTTTTTAAAAAAAAATAAAATAAACTTTCACTTTTAATCTTTTTGATCGAGTTAATGTTTTATGGGAATTTTTATAGTTAAATAATTAACAAATAAACTGAATGAATTATGGCATCAAAAGTGCTTAAGTTATTTGGGGGGGGGGGGGGGGGGGAATGTTTGGGAGAGAGAGGTTTTTTTTTTTTTTTTTTTTTTTTTTTTTGGGTAAGTAATAAATTCTCTACTCTAACAAAAATCTCCTTTGTTTTGCCATATTGGGGTAAAACCTGCCTAGTATGTAAATTACAATACATTGACTTCTATAGACATAACCTCCATCTTATTCAAAACTTCTAAACCTAATATTTGTTTCAACAATCTTCCTTTATTAGGTGATATACTATTAGAGAAAATCCACAATACAATCGGGGTACCAACTTATTAGAGAAGAAATAGTCAAGAGAAGAAGTAGTTAAGAAAATCTTTATTTGAATTTGTATTTGCTTTTTGAATTCCTAATCTCATATCTATTACACGTGTATAAATACTTGTGATGTTGAATGAAAAGGCAAGCAGCAACAATCTTTCTCCTCTGCTCACTTCTTATA